CAGATGCCATCTCCCCGGGCCCAGCTGTCCACATCTGCCTCTTTTTTTTTTTAAACGCCTCTGTTTGTCCGTTGTAGTTTGTTTTGTTTTTCGTCAGTGTTTGCAAAATAGAGTCTGCTGCCTGTTATTTATTGTTAATGTTATGCACTTAGGACATTTTTATTTAAATATGTGATATGTGAATGCTGAATGTGAATATACACAAATACAAATCTGATTGCTTGTTGTTTATTTATTTGTTTGTTTGTTTGTTTGTTTTATTTGAAGCCCAGACAGCTTCTTCTGAAGCAGTAAAATGATTTAATCAATATTTAATAAACACCTCAGACAAGGCAAGGCAATAAGCAGCATAATGTAAAAGGAGACGAAACAAACTAAATCAGCAGGAACAATCGTGTTGAACTATAATGACTTGCATTAATTCATGTATAACGGGACTTCTAAATGTGGTCCGGCAGCTGCCCAGTGTTGATTTGGCTTTGAACACTTTAGTATTTGCAACTGCGAAAATGATTCTCGTACAATAAAATGCTGTTTGTAATAATTAATATGAGTGCTCATTAAGCCGCTGAAGAGCTAAAACTGAATCAGGTCTGTAATTGGACTGTATTTTAAAAGGTTCAGAAGTATTGCTGCTTTTTCCAAATATCCTCCAAAAAGCCTCAAGTGGTAACTGCTGAAATCCACCTCGGAAGGGAAAATGGTAATATCGCCCCCTGGTGACACTAACAAGACAGCATAAAAAGCATTGTGCTTTTGAAAGAGGTTGAAACTGCATTTCTGTATGATTCAAACTCTAAATTAAAATAAATTTTGTAAAGATTGTTTATTTGGTGTTCTGTTTCATCCGGGGCATTAGCTTACAGTGTACAGAACAGCAAAGTACAGACATTACAGGCAGCACTGGCAACTGTGATATACAGGATTTCGTGCATCTCTTTGTGCACTTTTGCTTCCGACATAATCCATTTCATCTTTGAACGAGGGGTTGATTCAGTAGTAACAACACTTGGCTCATCATTTGTGCAGTATGGAGAGCCGGAAAGTCAAACCAGCTTTGAATCCTAATGCTTTTGGGTTTACTCGGAGCTTAAAAACCGACATGCAGCTCAGAAACAGACTCTTTTTTTCCAAGGCCAACTTGTCTTGGTTAACGATGCAAAATCAAGCAAATGAATCTTACAAAAGCACCAAAGTACCAGAATCTAGAAATGTAGAACTTAAAGCTGTACTGCAGGTGCCTGCTTCAGCAAAATCAAACAAATCCCATCAAATGTTTCTGACACATGGGTTACACTTGCACTAACAGGAAGACATATCCCTCACTGGAGAAAACAGGCAAATGCTGAAGATGACAGCTTGTAGGTGGGAAGAGCTGTTGTTAAGAAATACTGCATTCTTATTTCTCCACAGTGACCTTCTGCCTTCTCTGTTTCCCGACAAACCGAGCAGCCTTGAACCTAAATGAGCAAACACAGTATATTAAGAAGTCTGAAAAGCATATTGTGTAACTGAGGCCGTGCTGCTGTTTTTCCTCCCTGTTCAGATGCTCTTCCCCAGTCTCCTCAATTTCCGACTAATTGGACTTTTTCCACGAGACCTAAAGGGTCTTGATTTCGCTAAATTGCTCCGATCTGACAGTTTATTTCTCGAGGAATTCAGCACCTCGAGCCGGGAGATCGACTTTCTCTTTATCCCTCAGGATCAAGTGCTGGGAAGCCGGTTGATCTTCGGCCTTCTCTCTGCTCCTCTCCACTAGCTGAAGCGAGGCCTGGACTTTACAGCCCCCCATTGGATTATAAACTGACTCAGTATGTTCCCTTATGGGACTAAGCAAACACAGTGTATTACCCTTTTAGGAATGTTGAAATGGAGTCCATTTTATATTTTTGGGCATGAAAGTCATAGTAAAAAGTCTGCTGATGAGACACTTTCCTTATCAGATGACGGCAGGCCCTCAAGCTCCTGAATGGAGGCCTGAATCACCCTGTGTGGAGTCTTCAGGTTCCTTTCTCACACCTTCTAATATCTCCTTTCTACAAATACGTGCCTTAAGAAACGTAACTTTATCGTTCACCTTGATCTATGGAGACACTTGTCCATAGAAACCAATGGCAACATGAGTCACATGAACCTTGAATTCCAATGTGTCATAGACTAATGGGATCTTTCCCCTCACATACATATCACTGTTTGTATTGAAGCCTGCTGGATTGTTTTCATGTTACTGTAATTGCATTCTCTCTCGTGCATGTTTTTTTTTTTTTTGTTTTTTTTTTTACATATGTATGTTTTTATGCATTATAAAAGAATAGTGACATGTTTACCTGTTAGGAAAACATATTAGCCAATTTTAGGCGCTCCATTGATATTAATCCTTATGGGTGGACTGGTTTATATCAGTCTATACTAGCACAAACAAAAAGGTCAAGTAAAGTAGAAAACAAAGATTTTTTTTAATGTGCATTATTCTGTGTATGTGATAAAGAAGACCTCAATCTATAATTTAAGCTATTTGTTAGAAATATTTGATGGGATGGATGGATTTGATGATTTATTCATGGGGATAGAAATGTTGCTGCATAAGAGGATTGACCCATATCTAACTCACCTGTTTTCCTCTTTGTGAGTCCTCTTTGTGCATTTATCAGTAAATCATGTCCTTTAGAAATATCCTTTTGATATAAAACTCGTCTTATTTATACAATAATATTCAAGACCGGGAACTCATTTCACATTCAGGCTCAGTTTCAGCCACTACAACATCGGTACAACCAAACCGCAATGTCATGTATTCCCTTACTGTGCATAGTAAAGCACTTTTGGCCACAATTACAACATGGAGTCATTTGCTGGACCTGCTTTCAAACAAGCCCTGCGCTACTCTGAGTGCTACACACACACACACACACACACACACACACACACAGCCTTACACTAATGGAACTATGTCAGCGTGTGTTTATTTAAAAAAAATGAGCATCGGCCAACCAAAGCAGGCACTGTGGGAGACATTAGATGCCTTTCAAAGATGTTTCGCTTCTCCTCTTTTCTCAGTTCATTCCCCGCACCCTCATTCATTCCACTCTATCTCCCCTGGCTTGTTTGTGAAAGATATTCTCCATATTGAAGCAAATCCCAAACCAATTAGTGTGGAAAGTACGTCACTACCACCTACCATGATGGAAACACAATGCCAAATGAGCACGGAGGAAACCAACTTGGAAATTAGTTCTTTGCGCACTTTCATGTTGGCAAGTATGTATTTTGAAATTCACTTCAATCAGACTTCGTTGTTCCTTAAGGAAGTGGTTTTAAAGGAAATATATGGATCCCGTTGTAATCTAAATCAGACAGCCTTCCTATTGATGTGGCCCTTGATCATGTTTGTCCCTAGTTATGAGGATACAAATGGTGTGATAACACTCAGGTGTGATTTGGTGTAGTGTATTTGTAAGGACAGTTGAAAAGACTGAAGCACAGCGTGACACGTCAATGAATGAATGAAAGGTTGCTTTCCCCCAAGATGATTCACAGTTACCAGTCATTTTACCACCTACTGCATATTAAGGAGCACTCCTCATTTGGTGAGAAGTGACAGCGGGTATGGATTTTTTTGTCTGACAAAATCAGGGCTAATCATTAACTGTTGAACTACACTACATAACCAAACAAGTTTGTCCTGCTTGTGACTTAAAGCTCACGAAAATCGATCTTTTTTTCTTCTTCATTTGGATCAATGAATTTGTACGGGGGGGGGGAAAAGTGTTTATGGCTAATGTTTCAGTGGATACGTATATTTAAAAGTTGCAGTACTTGGAGAAAGGCAAAAAGGGAGGTAAAATGTAAAGGTTTCCCTGCTCTTGGGAGAATAAATGTCATATTGCAGAGAAAATGTCATGCCACTCCTTTCATTTGTTTTCAAGATAAACTGGCCAGAGTTAAAACAAACCGATGAAGACGGACACATTTTATCAGTGGTGGAGCTATTTAAAACTATCTTAAAGACTGAGAGTAACTTTACTGTGTAATTCCGTTACCGTATACTTACCATAAGGAAAAGGACCAGCTCCAAAAGAATTAGAGGTCACTATCAAAGTCTGACCTCCATGAATCTTCGAAACATTGACTAACAGGAGCTATACCTTAGAGGGAATGGGATAACACACACTGCTGTTACTGTTACTGCAGACTATGTGTCATGTCATGTGTGAATGCGTGGAGGTTTGATTGTGTCTTCACTATGTAGTGGCAACATCTGGTCATTAAATACTGCTCTGAAATAAGTGTAATTGGCTCACGTTAGTTAACTTTATAAATGCAGGTAGGAGTGATGATAGGTTTTTCATGCATAACATGGAATTGAATTACTGTGTTTATCATAGATGTTTCCCCGTGGAGAAGAAAGCCCATTAACACAATAATGAATATTATACAGTTTCTCATTACCCAAACGTGGTTGAAACATAAAGTAATACGCAGTCGGCTGAGGAGCCGTTATGCTGATGAAGCAATGGAGGTTTAGAATAGAAACGTTACCACATCTGCATCTAACGGCAATTTACTTCTCAAGAATTGAAGAAGTTTCCGGATATTTCATGAACACACCATCTCAAGTATCACGTGTGTTGGGAGTCCTCTGTGGCTCTATGATGTTATTAATGCCCTCAGATTTGGCTCTCAGGCAGAGTACCCTGGCTGTCGGTTGGGATATCTGAAGTTAAAAAAAAAAGTTTACTATCATAAATGTGCATTGAAATATACAGCTGCGAATATCACTGGTGTTAATATACTCAACTTTACAAATGTTTTATTCAATTAAATTGCTTAATTGTACAGTTAACATCAATGTCTCAATTGTAATGTGTGCACGTGATTGTAACAGTATGCATTCAGCGAATAAGTAGCGATGGCAATCAGCAAGCAAGAAAACTGGCCTCCTATTTTGGTCTCTGGATGAAGCACTGTGCAATGAGATTTGAGTTAAGCCTGAGAGGCTAAACTCGGGGTATTTAAAAACTTCAGTTCCAGTTCAGCAAGGTAGGATTGGTATTTAAGCTAGCGCCTATCCGGTGTCCGCGCTGTTGCTAACACACGCTAACTCAACCTCCAGCAAGCCGCTGTCCCGCTTGGCATGACTAAGAGCACGTAGCCGGCATGACTGCTTGTTCCGCATGATGCCGGTGCCAATCTGACTGTCAACGTTAAGCTAGCAACTGTGTGAGGGGCGCGAAAGAAGACTGTGCCGGTACCACCACCAGCCGCAGCTACCGGGTAGTGTTGACTACAGCCCTGCCTCCCGCTACTAGCCGAAGTTCCTCATCTGCCCGTCGATACGGTAGTTTTGGCGAATTAGCTAGCTTACAAACACGCCGAGGCGGTGTGGATACATGTCTGCCTCTCAACCGCGAGACGAGCTACGAAAGGGAAATCTTGCAGTTCATGTTTCGCCAAGAAGTTGGTGCGACGTCTTTTATTCCATCTCGTTCGTCTCTTTTCCAACACGAGAAGAGGAATATGTCCAGATATAACGTATACAGCCTGCTGGACTGGATCTACGGCGGGGTGGACCCGAAGTTCGAGGGCAACGGGGGCCCCGCGTGCGCCGCCTTCCTCGCGCCCCAACAGCGAGTCAGCGAGAGTCTGGTCATCGTCCTCGTCTCCCTGGTGGAGGTATGCGTGGCGCTCAAGAAGATCAACCTCTCCAAAGAGCTCAAAGTGGTGGGGAAGGACTGCGCGCGGTTGAAGGAGGACAGTCTGGGCAAGAACCTGTTGCTGGTGGCCCTTTGCATGACTTTCGGAGTGGAGGTTGGCTTCAAATTCGCGACCAAGACTGTGATATATCTGCTGAACCCCTGCCATCTCATGACAATGGTTCAGGTAAGGACGAGGTGTGTGTGTGTGTGTGTGTGTGTGTGTGCGCGCGCGCGCACTCCCAGGATGGGTTGCCCACGTGAACGCAAAACTGAAATGTGTCTGAAGACACTACTTTACTTATCTCCTTGTCTTCCAAACAGAGAGAGCTTTATGATTTATATTGCAATGTGTGATTTGACTTTGGCACTAATCAGCTGCTTGTTTTGGCTGACCCTGCCCATCACAGTATGGTACAACACTGTGGTTGGTATTTTACAATCAGTTACCTCAGTACTTTTTTACTTCCTCAAGATGCTTTTTTTTACTTGAACCTTACAGATCTTGAAAACAAAACAGTTAAGTAGCAGACGTACTGTTTTTTGCTTCTTCTTTTTTTACATTATCTGGCAGTCTGATTTGTGTAAACTTTGCACAGCTTTACACTGGGTGTGAATTAGTAATAAACAACATCATCTGATTGTTGGTGACCGGGCTTTATGTGTCGCTGCACAGGAAGCAAGTTGAGTTCTGTTGATACAAACAACCCTCTGTTGCCATGAGAGTATATACACAGCACCTGCATGTTTCTCCTCCACCTCCAGGTTGGCTGACCTTCATGGCACATGATTGCCACCCGTGGGTCACGGCAACAGGGTCACTGCCAACTGTGTTTTTAACACATAGTTGTTGGCACACACATGAATGATGGAGAACAAAGTAACCGAGACGTGTCTTCCTGATTATTTGACATCCTATAGGGGAGGGGAGGGGGGGGCAGCGTGATGAATGACACTGATGATTAACTCGCTGTGATGAGGAATTGACGGATGATCGCCAAATGGCGTTTGCGTATGAGGACCAAGGTTAAGATAATCCACTGTGGGTATTCCTCATGCTTGTTGACAGTTGAGTGTGATCCGAGGAGGAAATAACATAAAGGACGCGGTGCACTGAAAGGAAGGTGGAAGTTGCCATTTTCTTGTCAGAGGACAAGACAGGGAGTTTATTTGTGAGGGAATAAGGCCGGGGGCGAGCAGGTGGAACATGAAGTGTGTTCTGATTAATGAAGGTGATGTGTGTTGATGGTGCTCTGTTGGTGCAGATGAGTTCTCAATGAGAGGGCCGGGCAGGCATTTTCACATTTGTTGACTATTTGAGATCTTAGTCGTAGATGATTGTTTGTTCCCAGGATGCTACTTTTGTTACGTGTGCTTTTATTGACTCATTTTATAATCTGACTCCACCCACCCGGTCTTCATCACAGTCTGGGATCAGCAGTACATGGGTTTGGTACATTTTTAATCCCTAAAATCAAAACGTCTCATGAGGAGTGCAAAGATCCTCAGTCGGACCACTTGTCCATGTCTCCTTTTAGCGTGTTAATCCAGCAAAAGTGCATAAAAGCAATGTGTCTAGACATGAGAGCGAGAAGTCCAGAGTTGTGTGTACACACTTTACAGGCTGAAAACTTTAGGCTCTTGTAAAGTTCTCATGTTGCCCGGGGAGAAGAGCTGAGTGGAGTGTTGCTGTAATCTGAAGTTGCCTCAGCTCTTGACTAATCAAGGCGTCTACTCCACCCGAGTGTTGACGATACAACCACTTGTCTGTGTCGCTGTGCTGCAGCAGGTTACACAGCAGCCATGTCTGCCTGAACGCCTCATCAGCATTGGCTAAATTCTACATATTCAGTCGTGTCAACATTATTACTAAATACTTAACACAGTATACTGCTACTAAGAATATAAATATTGATGGGGAAGGAGTCTCACACTTTTTAAATCAACACTGCTGCCCAAATAATGCTTTGTCATGTGTAGTGAGGCTGTCAGTTGCCATTTGAGATCACACACACGTGTGTGTGTGTGTGTGTATGTGTATGTGTGTGTATATATATATATATATATATATATATATATATATGTATATATATAT